CCTCATCACAAGACATTAGTAATATCTGTGATGTAAATCGTTACCTCATCACAAGACATTTGTAATATCTGTGATGTAAATCGTTAACACATCACATGACATTTGTAATATCTGTAATGTAAATCGTTACATCATTACAAGACATTGGTATTTTCCATTCATTGTATGTGTTTATAAAATGTATTTGGACAGCAAGAATGGATTTTAATAAGTTCTGCATTCAACCAACAAAGTGTGTTTTTTTAAACGTTTATTTTGTATATTTGTAATTTTCGAACAAGATATTCTACATCTAAACCAATAATGTGTAGAAACTTTCCAAATTCATGTTTTTATGCCAACAATTCCAACCGTCTTAGTCATTATAAAGACCTGAATACATAGGGTGATATTTTTCAGGGGGCGATGTGCGTGTGTATATATATATATATATATATATATATATATATATATATATATATATATATATATATTATTTTCAGATAGTGTATCTCTAAAGAGACAAAATATATAAAAACAGACGAGAGGAAAAACTGCTCTTTGCTGACGCGTTTCGTTCTCCTTGGAACTTTATCAAGGCAAATATAAAGATTCATTTTGTTGCGCATGTTTATATACAAAGGTATGCAGTCATATATGCAGAGCTATATACAGATAGATAGATAGATAGATAGATAGATAGATAGATAGATAGATAGATAGATAGATGTAGACTAAATCTCCATCTCTTCCTACAAGCCAAGAAGAACAAGCAGATAATCACTGAGGCGCTGGAGAATGTTATGCAAGTTATGCTACAGCGTGTTTGGCAGGATCTGGACAACCGACTTCTGGTGTTTAATGTCACGTGTGGTGCTCATATTGAACATTTGCGAAGGTTTGTGAAATCGGTTATAAATTCTACATCCATTTGTATGTCTTATTCAGATTTTAATAAATAAATCATTTATTGTCCAACATGAAGCCTATCTAATTTTGGGACATGCTGAATGCTGCCATAACCCTTGTCTTCAGTTCATCTTTGGTGTTACAAGAGGTTTGGTTGCTCTCTTGCTCAACTGCGGGACCACACATAATAATCAAGGGGTTTGCAGTCTGGGGAGTTAGGTGGCCATATGTAAGGAGTGATGGGGTCGCAAATATTGTCTGGCAGCCATCACTGGGTTCTCCTGCATGTGTGGCATGGTGTAGAGTCTTGTTTCCGAACATAGGGTCTTCCAGCAGCCACCCTCTTCAACCAAGTCAGCACTAACTGCTCAAGGCACTTGATGTAAGCCTCAGTGTTGTGTCTGAGACCCTGTCGGAAGATGAATGGAGGCATAACGTCGCCATCACTCCAAACACCATGATGCTAACTGCATGTTTGGTTTTCATCACTCTTGGTACATCTTTTGGAGACACAGGATCCTCTAAACTGTTCTCAAACGCACTGAAGGATTCATATAGGAGCTTTCGGCACAAATGGCAAGCAGTAAAGCATGGTATTTCCAAATTTCTGGCGAAGTGAATTACGTCTTATTCTCACAGCAGGTACTCAATTGACCCTGCTATACTGAGCAGGTGACAAAATAAAAAAAAAACCAAACAAACAAACAACGCGCATGCGCGAAATTAAAAATATAATATGGCGACAATTTATTCGTCGCAACTTGTGTGTATATATATATATATATATATAGAGAGAGATAGATAGATAGATAGATAGATAGATAGATAGATAGATAGATAGATAGATATATTTTTTCAGATAGTTTATCTGTAAAGAGACAAAATATATAAAATAGACAAGAGGAAAAACTGTTCTTAGCCGATTCGTTTCATCTTCTGAGGGCTTTATCAAGGCAAACATAAAGATTTATTTTGTTGAGCATGTTTATATACAAAGGTATGCAGTCATATTTGCAGAGATATATACAGATAGATAGATAGAAAGAAAGAGATATGCAGATATAGATAGATAGAGATATATACATATAGATAGATAGATGTAAATATAGACAGAAATATATAGAGAGATATGTACATATGGATATATATAGATATAGAGATAGATATAGAGATATATAGATATAGATAGATATAGATATATGAAATACGCTGTAACTCTATGTACTTAATGGTCACACAGCGCTATCTTTCTTATTTGAGATAAGGAGAACTGTTGTTGGCAACAGACATTAATCTCCGCTAGTCAATGAACGAACTTTGTATTAACGACAATAATACATTGTTCGTATATAGGTGATTTGTCAATACATTGTGTTTAATTTATTTCGTTTAGCTATTTTATTAGGATATTTTTTTAATTGTAATGATTTTAAAAGCAAAATTCTTTCTTCCATGCGAGTATAGCGTTAAATATAGAAATCAATATCTTAACATATATTATACTTTAATATGCAGAAAATTTGGCCACCGCATTTAAAAGATTCCTAAAGACCGACACCCTTTTTACAATTGTCAGCGAAAAGAAGACAGATGCGAAAAATCAATCAATTGC